CCATCGACGTTCTGCATAATGCAAACTATGTTCTGTAATTTAATAGCGAACGAGTTTAATTCCTGGGCGGTTTGACCTGGGCGCGGAAAGCGTTTTAATTCCTCTAACGCACGATCTATAATTACTTCCGGGCGGCCAAAACACTGCTCCAGTGTTCGCATAATATCTGCCGGATCCTTCGCGGTAAACAGCTACGTTCTCTAACTACCTATTGTAACGAGCCCCCCCCCCATCTTTTTTTCTCTTCTACTATATATCCACTTATACTTGTATTTCTTTAGAATCTATATCTGTAAGATATATAAATATATCTAATTTACGTGACCAGTATAACTTGATCTTTCTAAAGGTTTAAATATAGGCCGTTTAATAAATTTATGGCGTGATCGTCTTAGTTAGGACCCTTTTTTACGTTGTGTTTGTATAGTAACTTAGTTCTTTTAGGTGTATCTTGGAAGAATGAATATTCACGAGAGCAATCGAAAGCTGTTGGTAGAGTCTTATAAGCTAGAGAACCCCGTTCACGAAGACAGAGCTCAAAAAGGTTAAGAACAATAAATTGTCCCTATTCCACTTGTATCTGGTTCACAACAGTCAATTCCTTATTAATTAATCCCTTCCCGCTTGGAAAAGGCTCACAATATTTATATCAAATACCAGTTACAAGGGCTTCGCTCTCCCACATTTTAAAAAAAAAATGTGGAGGAGGTACACGGCCCCACACACGCCGCGCACGGTGAGCGCCAACCATTTTAATGCGCTCCCCCCGAAGGGTACGCAAAGTTGGGAACTGGACCGTAGTCCACAGCAAAATAACTGGCGAACCAGTAAAAGAGGACTTGGCCCCTTGACAGTGCGTAAGCACAAACATCGACCGAAGTCGCGCATGTCAATGCGTGTAAACGCCATACAGAATACGATCAAATCCAGCCACAGTGAATGTACGTCACACGGGTTAGGCAACAATAGGCACACTGACCATAAAAAGCCTTCCGTGAGCGCCACCACCTGCCAGACCGCCGTTCCTGCAGACGTGATGTAAGTGTAAGGCATCACCACCAATTGCATGGTCAGCACGGCCAATTGGCCGCAGAGCGTGTCATGAGTCTACCGCTCACCTCAAGGGAATGGGGTCCCACGTTGCGCGGCTTTCGGCCGCAGCCTTGAGAGCCTCCTCAGATTCTCCCTCCAGCTACCACCCGCATGAGGTCGACACATATGCTCCACCAACCAATACAATGGCAGATATAGCCAATAGGCAGTTATAAGATAATAGTAATAATTCGCCATCAGAAAGGTTTGTGTCACTGACGTTGAGTATATGCATTTTTCGATCATGTTTGTCTCACCCACCAACAAGTTGCCTTCAATCTCTCAAAGGTGGGAACTTTATAGAGATATATTATTAAGTTGTTATATAAAACATCATGGAGGGCAGACAGTCTGCAGCCCCGCAATGAAGGGACCCGACTTGGGCAAAGCTACTTAGGTTGTGAGTCAAACCAAGACGCAGAGAGCGCCATTGAGAATAGCGACCCGCCAAACAACCATCGTAGAGACACAATGCTACAGAATGCAACAAGCATCAATACGACTATCGTCGGGCTTACACCATCCCAAGGTCCCCCATACAGTCCCAGCAGACATCACCACCCGCATACCTCCATCGACCAGAACCACAAGATGCATCGAATCAGGTGCAGCACACCCGCAGATCCATCACAAGACACAATACTGCAAGTAGCAGTAAGCATCAATGCAACTATCATACGGATGGCGCCCCCTCACAACACACCCACATGATCCCTATCGACTTTGGTAACAAAATTTGATAATGTTGTTAACTAAAAATACCACCAACGTATCATAGTAGTACGGTACTAAGACGTAAGTAGCCAAAACTCCACGTATCATAGCGCTATTGCACTAAGACATGAAGTTGAGTATGCTTGCTGCACTTAAAAGTACTACCAAACACACTCACCCTAATCCGAAAGATAGCCGACGTATCATAACGCTATGCGCTAAGACGACGCCCACAACCGGTAGGGGTGTGCGATGTTCACGGGCAAGTCGTATTGCTACAACAAACCCGCTTACCACCGGCACTAAGATGATATGTCTAGGACACATCGGTTAGTGAGTCCAAGTTTACCTCGGTCTCAGAGGCTGCGAAGCAACCTACACGCCCCTATAATAATCCTTTTCAAGTCCCATTTCTTTCAATATAATGCTTTTACATATTTGAGACCTTCCACATATTTGCTTTATTTCATAGACCATACTACTGTATGTCTTATTCATATGGGACTTCAAGTCATAACTCTGCTATCATAATGCTTACGCATCATAGAGACCTTCTATATTAATGCTTTGGTTCGTCAGACCTTACTATGTTAAGTCCCTAATATAGGACTAGTCATTGTGCAACCTTAGTACTAGCAGTCGGTCAGCCGACCACCCCATATATATGTACAACCTTGGGTATGTGTCTCCGACAACGCCCCAATATAAGGGAACATTACAAGAACACGTTCATTAACTTAGAAATTTTCCAATTATTACACGAACACCTTCATCAACTTAGAAAATTTTAATCCATTTTTTCTATTATATTACAAATGTTATTTATCTTTGTTATTGCAATATAATCGCCTTGTATTTATATGATTTGATATATTTTAAACATTTTAAGCAGGTTTTTAATAAATTTTGAGATTTTTTGAGACATTTTATGCGTTTACTAATATATATAATATTCAATATTCCAAATGGATATTTTTGAACTCTATGCTTATTATTTGCATTTTATTGTTTAAATTATAATTTCTATGACATTTTTAAATGTCTGTATAATGAATTTAATTATTATTTATTAATAATAATTATGAGGCGTCACAATCCACCCCCAAATTTTATGTTAATGATCCACATAGTGGAGTCGTTAATATAAAATTTTAGTATTTTGAGAGCATATACACTACACTCAAATAATTGTTTATATATCTGTTCTTTCCTCTTTTAATCTGTTACAATACGGCATATGTTATCAAATCCCCCTGCCCCAGGGAATGGCCGCCACCAACACCCCTTCAACCACAATTATCACAATGTGATAACACCATAATTCAAGTTATTGTATATCGTGTTGTTAATAAAGCTTGCAGTCAATTGTCGATTTCTTATTTTATTAATTTATCTTTAAATCTTTGTAACATTATTTCGACATAGTAGTATATAGTGCATACAATCCAGTTGGATATTTGTTGAGGTCAGTTCGATACCACATAGGATAAATGTGTTTGAGCCATTCGCCCTGACCCAACTCCCATATTTATTTAATAAAAATGATTACAAAATTATCTTACGATCTATATTTACAACTCTTCATTATATATTAATAACGTTCTACTATCATATAACAAATCTCTTGCTCATAACTTTAATAATTTTAGACCTTTAACTTAAACAATTATTTCCATGGGCCACCCACAAAACCCTTTTATGTTACAATATTTATTTAATTACTCTAATTTATACAAAAAGAAATTATTATTTAAAATATTTTAATAAGTGAATAGCATTGAAAATTCCTCTAATTTCGTTTGTCTCTGGATTTGCTAAGGTATATACATTGTCATATGGTACGGCTGCTATTACATAAGGTCCTTCATATGCCAAATTGAACTTACTCATAACTTTATTATCAGCGTCTGATCTACTAGATCTTGAAATTTTTACTAAGTCACCAATATTATATTTTGTTAATCTATTTCGCTTATCAAATTTTGTGTTTCTTATTCGACTTGCCTCTTTTAAATTTTTACGCACTTGTTGTCTAATTTGTTCGACATTATGTTTGTCTTTACTTTTAGAAATTACTTTGTCAAAAGACATCTCATTAGACTCACCATAAAGAATCTCACAAGGCGTGAAGCCTGTACTATTGTGATAAGAATTATTATACAATTCTTCTAATTTCGGCAATATTAACGCCCAATCTTTGTGGTTAGTATGACAAAGCGTCCTAAATAATCTGCTCAACTCTTTATTTACTCGCTCTGTTGTATTTGGTCTAGGATTTCTAACTGTGGTATATATTGGCTTTATATTTAATTCACTCATTGATTGTTTCCAGTGATTACTTACGAACTGTTTTCCATTATCTGTCATTATTGCCTTGGGCTTTATAATCTCAACAAAATGCTTTACTTTTGTTACAACAGACTTTGCTGTTGACTGTTTTAAAGGATATAATTTGATAAATTTACTGAATGAATCTTGAATGACAAATATGAAAGTGTACCCAAAGGTACCTGATACAAGCGGTCCATATAAGTCTGCCATGACTATATCGCCAATGTTTTCTGTTATTATAGATTTGCAGGGACCCACATATGTTATATTGCTTTTCTTAGATAACTGACATAAATGACAAGCCCTTAATTGGTTTTTAATATCTTTTGTTAAACCTTTCCAAAAGAATCTGTCTCTCACATATTTAATTACCTTATAGGGTCCTTGATGACCCATTTCGACATGCACTTGATTTATAATATCTTGTCTCAATGCTTTAGGTAAATATATTACTTCTTGTAAATTCGTTTTGTAATATAATACATCATTTTTCAAACTATACCTTTTAAATTTATTGTTTTGTTTTATTATGGAAGTATTTAATGTCTTTAACTTTTTAATAATAGCCAACGACTCTGAATCTTGTAATTGATATACTGATAAGGATTTTAATTTTTCTATCAACTCAATATTCGGTTCGCTCTCTGTGTAAGCAATTTCTAAACTATTATTTTTATCCTCTTGTATTAAATCGCCATCAGGAGGATAACGTGATAGCACATCTGCAACAATATTACGTCTACCCGATATATGCTGTACTTCATAATTAAATTGTTCTATATACAAAATCCATCGGGTTACTCTACCATTGAATAACTTCATATTATTAATAAACAATAATGCTTTATGATCAGTTAGTATTATTACTTTACTGCCCGCAAATATGTTTCAAATTTCTTTAGGCAGCTTATTACAGCATAAAACTCTTGTTCAGTAACAGACCAATTTAATTCGGGGCCTTTTAAGGCTTTACTATGATAGCCTAAAATTCTCATTTCATTATTATCATCTATCTGATATAGTACTCCGGCCATACCCACACCGGAACAATCTGTTTGTAAATAATACGGCTTATTAAAGTCTGGATGATGCAATTGTATTGTATTAATAAATTGTTGTTTTATAAAATCAAATGCCTTCTGTTCTTTACCGCTCCATTTGAACTTTCGTCCCTTTTTAAGTAATTCACAGAGCGGTATTATGCTCTCGCTGTAATTTGGTATAAACCTTCTATAAAAATTGCATAGACCTAAAAAGGCCCTTAATTGTTTAATCTTTTTAGGTGCTGGAAACTCTTGGATCGCTCGAATCTTATCGGGATCTGTCTTTATGCCTTCTGTTGAAATTATAAAACCCAGCATTTTAATTTCTTTACAAATAAATTCACATTTCTGCAAGTTACACGTTAAGCCAGCTTTGTTCAATTTACTTAAAACAATATCAATGTGCTCCAAATGTTTATCTAACGTTCCTGTTGTAATAATGGCTAGATCATCTAAATAGTTCACACAAAATTCTTGGACTTCTGGTCCTAATATTAAATTCATGGCTCTGCTAAAGCTTCCTACTGATGTTTTTAATCCTTGCGGCAAAACATTATATACATATGACTTTCCATTGAATGTGAATCCAGTATATTTTCTACCATCTTTATTTATCGGAATTTGAAAATATGCATTATTTAAGTCAATGGTAGTGATATAATTCGCTTCGTGAAATGAATTCAAAACATCTAATTGTATAGGTGGTTTCTCTGTTTCTGCAACCATTTTCTTATTTATGCTTCTGGCATCAAGCAGTACTCTAATTGAGCCGTCTTTTTTAAGAGTGAATGTCAATGGACTACTGTAAGGCGTTGATGTCCTTGTGATGATACCAGCTTGTTCCATTTCATTTAACTTTTCTTCCATTTTCGCTCTATATGCATATGGAATGGGATAGGACCTAGTAACTATAGGTTCATCATCGATCATTTCAATTTTATGCTCATAGCAATTGGCTCTTCCCAATTTGCTCGAAAACATATTCTTATGCTTTTCCAAAACCTTACTAAGTTTTGCCCTTGCAGAGACCTCCAATGTAGATCCTATTTTTATATTTATTAAGGGATCATCGGTACATTGTTTGATGCAGTTATTATGTAATACAGATTTATTATTATATTTGAAAGGTATAAAGTAGTCTTTGTTTTTCACTTTAAATTCTATTCCAACAGTAGTATTTCTCAAATCAATCAATATTTTATTTCTCTTGAGCCAGTCAAAGCCTAATATTAAAGGTCTTATTAAATTACCTACAATTAAAGTTTGTGTTTCAAAGACTACTTCATCTATCTTTATAGGCAATATGATCATTTGTTGTATTTTTGTGCTGCGCTGCCCAACAGCACCTTTTATTTGCATTGCTTTAACTGGCATTATTGATATTTTACGATTATTATCTTTAATTTGTAAATATAAACTTTCTGAAATGCATGTAACATCGCTCCCAGTGTCGAGGAGCGCGTCTATTTCTTTGTCAAATATTGAAACTTTAATTTCAGATCTCATATTCCCTATAAGTTCCCTTTGATATTTATCTTCGTCTTCCTCGAAGACGGTTTGCACGAATAACTACGTTATGGGCAAGTCCGACCTGGCTTTTAAGGTGTTTAATATGGTATTTACATTGTCGTTATAACCAAGGCCTTCTCTGTTAAAATTTGCTTTTAAAGTAATAGTTTTTCGCAACCCTCTATTGTTTTTACCCAATGTTTGACCAGGTCCCCAACCCAGTTTTAATAACATATTTAATGCTTTGTTCCCTTTTACATTGTAAGGGGTCGAATCGGGAACTAGTTCGACCTCTACAGCTCTAAATTTGGCTCAGGGGCCGTAACATCAGGTTGGTCATTAGTGAAATGTATTTCATGTACTTCATTAACCTTCTTTTTTCCCTCTTCGGGTTTACGCCATGTTTTGTATGATTGTTGTATTTCTTTATGTTTTTGCTCCGTATTATTATTAAACTTCCTCCTTTTCTCATTATAGTAAGGTTCATGACCTTCATCTTGTTTGTCGATGTCATCTAAGTTTCTTAAGAAATCTGTCGTGTCTATTATTGTCTCAATTTTAGCTATTCTCCATAATTGCTGCACAGTTTTAGGATAATGTCTGATGACATCAGTTACTAATTGTTTTTCAGGTATCGGATATGATAATGTTTGTGCCTTCTCAACCACATAAAGAAAATAACTAACCATGGTGGGGTGTGTACTTCTATTCCATTTATTTTGCACAAGGAATCTCTTTACTTTATTTTGTTCTTCTTCACCCCAAAACACTCTTAGGAAGTCAGCTTTAAAATCATCAAAAGTTGTCCAACGCACATTATTAATGCGAGCCCAATACTTGGCTTCACCTACTAAGCACTCTTGTGCAATCGAAATTTCGAGACCATTAGATGGAACTTTCTTTAAATAATTGGTGAGATCTTCCAAAAATGATACTGGATGAGTATTTCCATTTCCAAATTTCGGCTTTTCTATTGTTACATTATGTACATTATATACAATATTTTGTCTAGGATCATTTACATGAGAGGTGCTCGCCCCGGACACCTCTTCTTGATTTATTTTAATTTGGTAATCTTTCGTTTGGTTAATAAATTTTTCCTCAAGATCCTTTATTTTAACCTCAAAGGTTTTCACTGCATTCTTAATTAATTTCTGAAGCATTTTCATCTCATCTTTAGGCTTAGCCTTAACTGAGGTTGATTTTTTCTTATTTTTAGCCATTTTAATTTTTATTTCCACTTTTTTTTTTTTTTACACTTTTTGTGTCCTTCAGTTACTTTAATTGAGTTTTTCCACTTATTTCACTTTATAATATATAGGATTGCAGTTTTTTTTTTTTTTTTTTTTTTTTTTTTTTTACACCTGTTGTGTCCTTCACTTAGTTTAATTGAGTCTTTCCACTTATTTCACTTTTTATTATTTTGCTCCGTTATGCACACACCTCCTATATTATTACTCAATTTTAATATTTAAGCCCCACCCCCAGACTCTCAACCACCCCCAGCAAACACCACTCTCCAAGACACCTCTCCATTTCACGGACAACAAATTGTAGGCATATAGCCTACCTCATAATTTTATATTACCGGCCTCCTATTTAAAATTTAACCTCTATCCTGGTCACGGCACCAAATTGTAACGAACCCCCCCCCCATCTTTTTTTCTCTTCTACTATATATCCACTTATACTTGTATTTCTTTAGAATCTATATCTGTAAGATATATAAATATATCTAATTTACATGACCAGTATAACTTGATCTTTCTAAAGGTTTAAATATAGGCCCTTTAATTAATTTATGGCGTGATCGTCTTAGTTAGGACCCTTTTTTACGTTGTGTTTGTATAGTAACTTAGTTCTTTTAGGTGTATCTTGGAAGAATGAATATTCACGAGAGCAATCGAAAGCTGTTGGTAGAGTCTTATAAGCTAGAGAACCCCGTTCACGAAGACAGAGCTCAAAAAGGTTAAGAACAATAAATTGTCCCTATTCCACTTGTATCTGGTTCACAACAGTCAATTCCTTATTAATTAATCCCTTCCCGCTTGGAAAAGGCTCACAATATTTATATCAAATACCAGTTACAAGGGCTTCGCTCTCCCACATTTTAAAAAAAAAATGTGGAGGAGGTACACGGCCCCACACACGCCGCGCACGGTGAGCGCCAACCATTTTAATGCGCTCCCCCCGAAGGGTACGCAAAGTTGGGAACTGGACCGTAGTCCACAGCAAAATAACTGGCGAACCAGTAAAAGAGGACTTGGCCCCTTGACAGTGCGTAAGCACAAACATCGACCGAAGTCGCGCATGTCAATGCGTGTAAACGCCATACAGAATACGATCAAATCCAGCCACAGTGAATGTACGTCACACGGGTTAGGCAACAATAGGCACACTGACCATAAAAAGCCTTCCGTGAGCGCCACCACCTGCCAGACCGCCGTTTCTGCAGACGTGATGTAAGTGTAAGGCATCACCACCAATTGCATGGTCAGCACGGCCAATTGGCCGCAGAGCGTGTCATGAGTCACCTCAAGGGAATGGGGTCCCACGTTGCGCGGCTTTCGGCCGCAGCCTTGAGAGCCTCCTCAGATTCTCCCTCCAGCTACCACCCGCATGAGGTCGACACATATGCTCCACCAACCAATACAATGGCAGATATAGCCAATAGGCAGTTATAAGATAATAGTAATAATTCGCCATCAGAAAGGGTTTGTGTCACTGACGTTGAGTATATGCATTTTTCGATCATGTTTGTCTCACCCACCAACAAGTTGCCTTCAATCTCTCAAAGGTGGGAACTTTATAGAGATATATTATTAAGTTGTTATATAAAACATCATGGAGGGCAGACAGTCTGCAGCCCCGCAATGAAGGGACCCGACTTGGGCAAAGCTACTTAGGTTGTGAGTCAAACCAAGACGCAGAGAGCGCCATTGAGAATAGCGACCCGCCAAACAACCATCGTAGAGACGCAATGCTACAGAATGCAACAAGCATCAATACGACTATCGTCGGGCTTACACCATCCCAAGGTCCCCCATACAGTCCCAGCAGACATCACCACCCGCATACCTCCATCGACCAGAACCACAAGATGCATCGAATCAGGTGCAGCACACCCGCAGATCCATCACAAGACACAATACTGCAAGTAGCAGTAAGCATCAATGCAACTATCATACGGATGGCGCCCCCTCACAACACACCCACATGATCCCTATCGACTTTGGTAACAAAATTTGATAATGTTGTTAACTAAAAATACCACCAACGTATCATAGTAGTACGGTACTAAGACGTAAGTAGCCAAAACTCCACGTATCATAGCGCTATTGCACTAAGACATGAAGTTGAGTATGCTTGCTGCACTTAAAAGTACTACCAAACACACTCACCCTAATCCGAAAGATAGCCGACGTATCATAACGCTATGCGCTAAGACGACGCCCACAACCGGTAGGGGTGTGCGATGTTCACGGGCAAGTCGTATTGCTACAACAAACCCGCTTACCACCGGCACTAAGATGATATGTCTAGGACACATCGGTTAGTGAGTCCAAGTTTACCTCGGTCTCAGAGGCTGCGAAGCAACCTACACGCCCCTATAATAATCCTTTTCAAGTCCCATTTCTTTCAATATAATGCTTTTACATATTTGAGACCTTCCACATATTTGCTTTATTTCATAGACCATACTACTGTATGTCTTATTCATATGGGACTTCAAGTCATAACTCTGCTATCATAATGCTTACGCATCATAGAGACCTTCTATATTAATGCTTTGGTTCGTCAGACCTTACTATGTTAAGTCCCTAATATAGGACTAGTCATTGTGCAACCTTAGTACTAGCAGTCGGTCAGCCGACCACCCCATATATATGTACAACCTTGGGTATGTGTCTCCGACAACGCCCCAATATAAGGGAACATTACAAGAACACGTTCATTAACTTAGAAATTTTCCAATTATTACACGAACACCTTCATCAACTTTATCTTTGTTATTGCAATATAATCGCCTTGTATTTATATGATTTGATACATTTTGAACATTTTAAGCAGGTTTTTAATAAATTTAGAGATTTTTTGAGACATTTTATGCGTTTACTAATATATATAATATTCAATATTCCAAATGGATATTTTTGAACTCTATGCTTATTATTTGCATTTTATTGTTTAAATTATAATTTGTATGACATTTTTAAATGTCTGTATAATGAATTTAATTATTATTTATTAATAATAATTATGAGGCGTCACACTATTTTCAACTAATTCGTCCTCGTTTAGAATTTCCCTATCCGTTTCTTCTTGCAGTTGAGCGATATCCCTAGCGTACTTCTTCT